CTCCGGCTGAACATGGCCGGGCGCTTCCCGCACACAGCGCTGTCGGTTAGATGTGTCCGCGCTGCAGCCACCGGGAGGGCGGGTGGCCTGGGCCGGCGCGGTCGTCAGCCGGGCGGTGGCCGCCTAGCTGTCCCGGCTGATTCGGGAGAGCACGTCTCCCCTCCTCCCTTCCCTCTGCAGCTCGCTCCCCGCCGGCTGGTCCCTCCCCTCGCCGCGTGTCCCCCGCCCCCCCCCAGCCAGTCCCATCCTCTCTGGCACCATCTGAGGCCACTTTCTCCTTTCTCCTGCTTCCTTGCCCACTGGGGAGAACTCTTTGGCTGGCCCAGCCCCTGAAAGCTCTTCAGCTCACCCTGGTCCCTGAAGTTAGGGGCAAGGGGCAGTTCACAGATGTCAGGTGGAGATGCAAAGATGAGAGATTTTTGCGTTAAAATTTAAGTGACATTGGAGTAAAAGTTAACCTATTTAGTGCATAGCTCTGGCCTTTTTGAGAAATTCATACATTCAGGCAACCGTCACCACAATCACGGCATAGAATAGTCTCATGACTCCTCAAAGCTTTCCTTGAAATCTAATTAGCATGCATTAAAGTTGGTTGATGACTTAGAGAAAGAAAGAGTTGGAAAGAGAATGGGTTGTGCCTCTCTAAATGTACGGAACCTGCAATATAGTATTTGTTCTTTGAATGCTTGTCAATTGTATATGCAGAGAATGACACCACGTACCTTCATTCCAACTCTTCTTCAACAGTATATTAGTGATCTCTCAACATTAGTTAAACTTGTATGTCTTATCAATCTATGTGTCTAACTAATATAAATGCATATATATATACATATATATGTATGTACATATATATCACATTATGTAACCCTGGTTGGCCTGTGTAGAAGACACTAGACACTGGCCTTTAACTCACAAATGTTGGCATGCCTCTGCCTCTTGAGTTGTGGTAGTCTGAATATAATTGGCTCCCATAAACTCATTGGGAGTGGCACTATTAGGAGGAAGGGTCTTGTTGGAGCACATGCAGCCTTGTTGGAGGAAGTGTGTCACTCTGTGGGCAGGCTTTGAGGTCTCCTATGCTCAAGATATGCGCAGTGTCTCAATTCACTTCCTGTTGCCTGGGGATCAAGATGTAGGACTCTCAGCTCCTTCTCCAGCACCATGTCTGCCTGAACGCCACCATGTCCTGTCATGATGATAATGGACTGAACCTTTGAATTGTAAGTCATCCCAACTAGATGCTTTCCTTTCCTTTATAAGAGTTGCCATGGTCGTGATGTCTCTTCACAGCAATAGAAACCCTAATTAAGACACAAGTGCTGGTATTAAAGTCGTGTGCCACCATGCCAGGCCCTTCTATCAATATTTTTATTTAAAAAGATGTAACAGGAATCTTTATCTGATAGTGTGGTTGAAGGATGAGTCAAGACATGTGAGCTGTGACAGGCAGAAACTCAGGGCTCATTGAAGATTAGGGATCAAAAACAAGAATGTCATTTTAAGAGACACAGGCTATAGTGTCCACTAGACATTGATGTTTCAGCTCAAATAACACTTCCGTTGAACTCTCTCCACCAACTACTATTCTGTCTCTTACACATTCATGTCATACAAAGCATGCTCTGAAATTATCTGTTCTCAACCAAACCAAAAGGACAGAAGGGCCATTGTCTTCTTTGTGTCAGCACTGACACAGTGCTTGCACACTCTAGATACAACTGTAAGTCAAAAGAAGACCTCTTATCGCTCTTTAAAAAGAGGTGACTATCTAGCTTAGCATTTGATATATGGGACATTGGCATTAAATGAAAAAAGCCATCTCTGCCTGGGATAGTACAGCAAGTGGGGGGCAAAACCAGTGTACCCATCTATCAAAGTCAAATAAATAGCAGGACACAACTCAAACACCCTCCTCCATTTACTAGCCATCCATCTTCTCCAACAAGACAATACAGTACAGTTTGGTTTCTGGGCCGCAACTAAGAGGAGGCATATAAGGTCTCTGTCTCCGGAGCAAAATTTACAGAGAACAAATCCAGCAATTGAGACAAATATTTTTGTATCATAACCAGAGAATCAAAATCACTATAAAAATATCCACAGAATCTTGCTTTATCTTGCCCTGCCTCACCTACCTCACATTCATCTATCCCTGATGAAAATGCTCTGAAAACTCAGAGGGCAGCAGTGAGAACTGAGTTGTAAGTGCTTGCTGTGCAAGTATAAGGACCCAAGTTCAGTCCTTGGGGCACACATTTAAAAACTAAAGCCAAACCAAAGCTAGGTGTAGGGGAACACACATGTAAACTCAGCTAGGATGTGGGAGCAGAAAAGCTCGGGGGTGCACTGTCCAGCCAGCCTTGCCTATTTGGTGAGTTCCAGACCAAGGAAAGACCCTGTCTCAAAAAGCAAAGACGATAACATCTGAGAGAAGATAGCAGAGCACCTGCACACACTTGAACATGTACACACATGTACACTCTCACACGTACATGCCAAATGTTCTGAAATTCAGACACAGAAGACTGGTTATCTTCTATTTCATTGATCTAAGTGGTGACCATCCACTATCATGTTTGGTGGTAGTTGCGGAGAGTAAGCCATGGTATATGGAGTGAGACTGTCACAAGATCTAGCCAATCAACATCTGACAAATGTGGAGAAGGGAGGGCTGCATGATCTCCCACCCCATCTGGGGAGCTACTGGCATTTGATGGCTTCTGGGGGAGAGAAAGTCAATTTTCTTTAAGGGTATGGCCTTCAGTAAGTCTACCAGGATCCAGTAGATGGCCCCACACCTATGAATAGTACACAGGGAATACAAAATGGGAAGAGGTGGAAGGATGGGGGTAAACAAGCTCAAAATACATATATGCACATATCAAATTCTCAAAGAATTAATAAAACTATATTTTGTAGATTTAAACGTAATGCAGTAGCTTTAGTTGTTTTGGCAAGGGAAGGGTCAGGTGAGGTTAATAATGGAAACTTCTCAGGGCAAGATGCTCATTGGACCTTGGCAGAGTTACTGTATAACCATCTCTGCCCTGTAGGAAAAGGTTATGAGGAATAGCATTGATGCTGTAATTATGGATGCTATCTCTGTGTATTTTAGTTGCACAACCTTTTTAGGGCAACACAGTAGGAGCATTAGTGCTGTGTAAGTTTCCAGGCGATGGATAGCAGGTGTCCTGAGGAAATTAATCCTTCCTCTGGTTGCCCGAAAGGAGACACAGGAACTACTGGAAGGTGCCCAGTCCCATGTCTTGCTCCTGGATAGATGTGGCTGGTAAAGAATAAGGCAATAATAGTGTCTTTGGGGATATGGTTCTATGAAACTTAAGTTGTTTGGACAAAGAGGAGATGCAAGAAAAATGTGAGCAAACTTCATGAGTTACCAGAATAAACCACATTGCTGTGTAGTAGTTTCTTTGAGAGTAAAACCTTTCTGCTTGGCAGAAATTAGCATTAAGATGTTAGGAAGGAGGAAGAATACAGGCTGTTCTAAATGGACATAAATGGACATGATACACTGTATCTTGCAGGGAAGCAAATGAAGTAAACAACCCAAAGACTTTAGGAAGTCCCTGAAACTGACCAGTTTCACTAGATTCCTCCCTCTGTGGGCATATATAAATAGTAAAGACTGCTGGGGAACACATTTAGACAATCTGAGCTGCACAAGTGTCCTAGAAAGGACACTCTTACCTGTTAAACTGCCTGCAGGCTGTGAATGTGCTCCAGATTTCCAAGATTTGTGAGCTGTTACACACAGTGGGTGGGCTTTTGGTGCTTTTGAGTCATTTCTGTTCCTGGAACTAATGCCTCATCCATATTCCTCCAGGTGAGCCCAATAGAACTCTTGCTCACCAAACTGGACTGTGCTGATATTCATACCTCGGTCTGTCATTAGTTACTGATCTAGGGTGAGCAGACATTTGTTCGTGTCTCCCCAGGAATAGTATCACATAATACACCAACACTAGGCCCTGGTACACCCCTGCTTTCTCCAGGCATATTTTTATAAGCTCTTCTTATGCCCCTAAGGATGCGTTTCCACCAGGGAGGTACAGATGTCCTGTGGCTTATAAGATCTTCCCTGCCTACTCACCAGTCACTTTCTGCTGTTTAGGAAGGTGAAGTTTAGTAAGGGAAGAAAGAAGGAAGACCCTTCCATCAGCTGATGCAAAACCCGGGCAACTTCCTTTTGCTGTTTCTTTGCATTTGGAGTCTTTGATCTGTGTTCCCTCCTCGTCTCTTCAGGCAATGTGATTACTAATGGAACATGAAAAAATCTTCATATACAATTGTTAGCTTTAGGGTCTTTGCTGAAATGTGAAGTGGAAAACCAAAGCCAAGTCAGAGTAGCTTTGGTTAGGAGAGACATGCACTATGCCTTAG